TATGAAAATTTCAATGTATGTACATGCTTGTGTTATATTGACATTGTGGAGAATAATGAGAATTATATGCTTATGAGATAATTTTGCCATGAATATGTAAAATGTATTGATATTGTTCATATGTCTTTCATAACAATATTGAATATGTTAAAATTGTGCAATGGGACATCATATTGCATATACATGGTAACATCGCATCATGTGGGTGTGTGAATGGTTGTCATCAACACCACACTTGGTGGATGACGAGTAGACTCCATTAAGCTTGGTCAAAGACTTGGCCGAGTCGCACAAGTTGCATGGTGATTAGGGTTGGGGTTAGCAAGGAGGGACTAGAAGATCCCTCGGGTGCAAGGTCCGGTGATTGGGATACGCACTCCCTTGGCGTGGCCTATAAATGTGTGGGCGTACGCGGAGCCCTTGGTAGAAGTCCATAAATTCCGAGTAGGTTGGAGACCCTTGGTGTAAGCCCATGAACCTCCACCCCATACAAAGACCCTAGGTTGGTAAAAGTCATTTGATGTGCAACATAAATGACGATTCCATACATATTGGCACTTGCATGTGTGAGGAGCTGGGAAGGGCTCGGGTTGATTTGCATGAGTGAGTCTCATCTTATTTCATGGCATGACATGATAAATTCCAACATTGAATGCATATTCTTACTTGTAATGTTGATATGAATATGAAATGTTGTATGTGAGCATTGCATGTGCACTTAGGTGGGGAGTAGCCTCTGTAGGAATTACTCTACTAGGCGTGGCTCACCCTATACGGGAAAATATTTCAGGTTTTGGATACACATCAGTGAACGACCTTCACTTGGATCCTCATGTTTGAAGAAGGCCGGATTGTGACTTTATTTTGTGTTAATGTAAAACATTTGTGGAAATAATGTTTTGGGCATGTAATCTCTTGCAAATAATTGTAATAGAACTTATATAGACTATTGTTAAACTAATCTTGCATGTTTTGATATAAATATGGATAATTGGACCTGGCGTGACCAATGTTTACTTATAATTGGACCCGGTGTGGTCATTGTTGAATATTGGACCTCGGATGGGTCTTGTTATTATATGATTGCACAGGTTGAGTTTGGGGTAAAGCTTCCCGTACAAAGGAGACTCTGCCCGAATTTCGTCAAAATTATGGTTCTCGGTAAATGGGGCACAATGGCCTAATATCAAATTACTCGGTATCCACGGGTATTCCGCGGGTTGATAGGTAATCAACGGACCCCCGAATTTTGGGGTGTCACATGTCAACCACCAAAGATGGTGTTTGACCTAACAACAAGCACACACACCTACACTCATGCCTCATGCCCATGAATATGATGCCTCCGTGCATATGCAATGTAATGAGCAATTGCAACATCAATATCATATCCATATGTGATGAATGTCATATGGATTATTTTTACCACATTTCAACACATGTCATGGATAATTACATCCTAAGCAAATAATTTTCATAATTCACCCCAATGCCAAAATATCATAAGCACATATCAACATTTACATTTCCAATTGTAATTCATGTCATAAGTATATAATTTCACTTTACCACATCATCCAAGCATGTTATCACATAATCTCATGCAATTAACACATTTTATTTTACATAGGCATTTTATCAAACACCTTCAAGACACCAAATCATGTAATCACATAAAATGCTCAAATTTATCACATAACTCAAAAAAATTAGATTAAGTAATTTTCACAAACCCAATTTTCAAAACTTCCAAGAAATCACAAACTAACAATTTCTAATTTCCAATTCACACTAGAATTGAGTCTACCCATTTTCATTAAACTAATTATAATAAGCAAGTGTTAAAATACACAAAACAACCCACACATTTCATATATTCATCCTAGATTAGAAATAAACCTAGTTAGGATAAAAATTCTACCTCTTGAAGGGTAAAATCAACATAGGGAGCTTCAAGAATTGAACCCGAGCTATAATCCAAGCTTTTTCCAAATTTCATTTTTCGAACCTTCGGTGAAAACCTTTGTTTTTGATATAGTTGTGTAGCCCTCGTCGAGGATATCGACTTTAATTCTTGGCCCAAAGAATTTTGACCGGCGGAACTTCGTTGATTTGAGAAAAAAGTTTTGAATCGTCTCTTTTTCCTCTTCTCCTATCTCCAACGTTAAACCCAGCACACCAGAAGAATAGAATGTTTAAAATCATATTTTTTAACTCCTATTTATACATTTTAACTCTTGGTCCACGTCACGCCACACGCCCCCTTTCCCTAGTTCGTTTTCGCCCCAAAACGATTAAATTTCACTCCGGTTCAAGCTCAAAATATTATATTTCAACTTGCTTTAAATTATTTTTCAATTTTTAAAATTTTATTAAAAAATTTGTTTTTGGGTCACTCGAGGCCCGACGACCGCTTCGTAAATCGCAAAAACACAATTATCTCAGAATTCGATGAAAATTGTTTGAGTAATTAGATTTTGTGAGATAAATCCAACGGTAAGGTCTATTTCGTCATCCGAGTGCTAGAGAAATACGAGTTTTCAACCCGCACTATTGTGTCAAATTACCATTTTATCCTTTTTCACAAAAATCAAATTTTTCCAGATTTTACAATTTCTTTTAAGCTAAATTTTAATTTAGTTGACTTTCTTGGGTTTTTTATACGATTTATGTTATATGGGTTGAAAGCGAATTAGATTTATTTTATATGATTGATTTGCTTCTACATGTGAAAATTTTTAACTACCGTTGGAGAAGTTTTAAATTGAAATTTTTTTTATGAACTATTAAAAAAGAATTGTAAAACTAGATTGTTTCTTTTAACCTAAATTCTAAGTTGGTTGACTTTCTTGGGTTTTTATTCTTTGTGTTCTACATAATGCTTTTGTGGGTACTATGCAATTTATGTTATATGGGTTGAAATCAAATTAGATTTGTTTATGTGATTGATTTATTTATACATGTGAACCTTCAATTCATAGTTCACATTTGAACACACACGCATCAAATCCCACTTCAATTCATAGTCCACGTTTGTTTATGGTTTAGAATATATATAAGTTGTGTTTCTTTAACTAACTGACTGGTTATATAAGTTATGTGCACATGGTGATATTGTTTGGGGGTCATATTTTTAAATGAAAATTTGTCCTTTTTTTAAAAAAAAAAATTTGAACACACACGCATCAAATCCCACTTCAATTCATAGTCCAGGTTTGTTTATGGTTTAGAATATATGTAAGTTGTGTTTCTTTAATTAAACGTCTGGTTATATAAGTGATGTGCACAAGGAGATATTGTTTGGGATCATATTTTTAAAGGAAATGTTGTCCATTTCTTTTTTTAAAAGGGCTCATATTGATTTGGGATTTTTCTCAATTTTCTTGATCGGTTATCTTGTGTAATACAAAATATTGGGGCGTAGACAATTCCTTGCAAATGTTTTTACATGTTATGTAATGCCTTCAAGCACGGGTAATTTATACTGGATGTTGATTTTTTGATTTTGAATTTAGAAATTTTGGACCATAGGATTTTTATGAATTCAGTAGATTTAAAAAGTGACTCAATTATTTTTTTCAATTTATACCTATGTCGATCAGTGATTTTCTTATTTCTTTCTATTCACTGTTTTTTTTTTTTTTTTTTCATTGACTTTAGGTACTATATTATAACACATTGAACTGGTTATGATTGTATCTGATATAGTTCTCCCAGTATTTCTTTTCTAACAAATGGGCATATCTTTTTCGTAGCCTTTAAATTTGGCTTGTTCTTCTCTAGATATTTTAATGTTGTTTCAATGTTTGAGGTTTTGATTGTTAAATTGATTAACTAATGTTTATGATAGGAGAAAAGGATTTGTGATTGTCAAGTGTGTTTGAAGAAATATCATGGAAGCTTGAGAGGTATGCTTGATTGAAGAGGTATTTGTGGACAAAATGTTTTTAGATTTATTTGGATATTTGTTTTTTGGATTGTACTTTTTTTGTGTGGTTCATGGAGTGAGTGAATAATTTTTTTTTTGTGTTATGTAACTTTAACGTTGGATTGATGCAAGCAATATGGAATTTTAGTTTGTTAATACAAAGAGAATGAGACATAATGACTTGAGTTTGGAGAGTATTGAGTGTTTAGATAATAAGCAAATAAGTCATACTTATTCCAATTTCCTAAGGTGTCAAATAAAATATTTTCGATGCTCCATTCAATTCTTGATGGAAACAGAGTTTTGTGAATTCTCTTCAGAACTGGGGATTTTCTCTAGCCCCAACAACGAACGAACAAAGACAACAATGATCTCTTTTATGTCCATTCAAATTGTAAGGGCATTTTAGAGATGTTTGTATTATGAAGTACTTTGGTGTGGGTCAATATTTTTTTTAAAATAAAGATTTGTATTATTTACTACTTTGATTATACAAATTTTGTATTAGAGTGATAGTCTAAAAGTTGTGTTTTTAGAGTATACTGTACTGATTGTTTTTTTGAATAGTAAATCTATATTAATTAGTATTTTGTGTTATAAATTATTTTCAAGTGCATTTTTTTTAAATAGTGCCTTCAAGCACGGGCAATGACTAATATATATATATATGAGAGAGAGAAATAAATAGTTATATCCTATATATGGATATAGATAGATATGAGAGAGAATTTTAATATAAGTCAAACTCTTAAAATTTAGGAGTAGTTAGCTTTCAATTTTTTTTCATTAAACATAACTATTAGGGTATTTTAAACAATAAAAACTAAAATAGACTTAATATTACTTATTACCGAATAAGTCCACAAAAAAATACTGACATTCAAATTTCCTTTTTTAATTTGGAATCGTAGATCTATTCACCGCCTCTAAGTCAATTTGGGGTTTACATTGACAGTCGATCTATATAATCTCAGTCAACAAGATTTATGAGATTATTTATTCATGACTCGAATTCAGAAAGTAGCGATCCAAAAACAGACAAGAGTTTGTTGTTTTCTTTAATTTTTGAAGCCTCCAGTTTTAGAACACGTGATACATTTGAACATGACTGAATCAATATGCCTGTCACAATATCCATTTTTCATTGCAAGAAAACAAACTTTGGTCCACAGGCCCAAAGATGGCATCTCTCACCAACACAACGGCAAGCAAATACAAAGAAAGATTTTTCCAGTTTAATCTTACGAGGACGGGAAAACTTTGGTGAAACTACCACCAGTTAGTCTAGCGTTTGAAACGTATGACGTCGGTGTAATCGACTAGTATGATATACACAACTGATACAGCGCTCATCAGCCATACCTTCTGTACTAACAGGTTCAATGAAATAAACTCGATTTCATATGTAAGTACTCCAGCACAGCTTGCCTTCACTTCTCTTCCCATTCCATCAATGGGGACTACGTTCAGTTGGTGAACCAGGAACAAAGGGTACGAAACCCCGTCCACCAAACACTGGGCGCATGAAGGTGTCGTCAAATTTACGCCAGTAGCGGTGGACAGTGTGAGTCGGGGTAGTCAAAAGCATGCGCAGGCTGCTTGGGCGAGGGACATCATGTCCAGTTATATCATCGACTTCAGAATCCTGTTGATGCCCAAGAAGTGGTACAGTAACCGACTTGGGTGTATTCGGATCAGATGACACAGCACTCGTGGACTGGTTTGTTGGTGGCAGCAAAAACCTTATAAGCGGTTGTGTCATTAAACCAAAAACCTAAGCAAGATCGGGACAATAAGATTTTAAAATCATATCAGAAGGCGGTAAAAATGACAAGCTTGTCATGGGAGAGGCATCAGAACTTTACCATTGTGCTGAAAAGAACAACAGTAATGGTGCTGGTGATCATTATTGCATTACCCCGCAAATGAGTATGTCCAGAACTAGTGAACTGCACAAACACAAAAAATTTACCGTCTATTATTCATACCAAAAAAATAAAGAAATCTCATTCCACAACGGTTTTGCATCTAATGTGGATGCGCAGGGTACACGCATCTCTACCATTTCTGCCATGCATATTGCCAATTTGCTCAAAAAAGGCTTGTATTCTGATGTAAATGACCACCATTTTAATTGAATACCCATTTTCACTCTGACCACTAAATGGAAAATCATAGGTGTCTAAAGCTTAAATAAGAGAGGAAATCATCCACTTCTACCTTGTTATAAGCAAGGGCAATAGACACAGCACCTCTCATTAGACCAGCCCACCATATTATCACCTGAAAAACATGTTGACGTGATGTGAATATGATAGAACGGGTTAGGAAGGGCAGAAATTTGCAAGGGAAAATCAATGCTTACCTGCTGTCTCAAGTCTATTTTCTCATTGGGAGATTTTTTGGCTAAGTTTGATAAGAAAGAGAGGGGAAACACAAAAGCTGCCCTCCCAATCAAAATTAGGCCCAGTAGTATTGAACTAACTGCAATTGATGTTCCAGGACTGAAAACGTAAATAATAAATCCATAAGGCAGTTATATTGTGCAAATGGAGGACAAAGATATTTGGTAGAATACAAATCTCATGAGTAATCAGATAATCAATAGAGGATTCTATCTCTACTGAATGTGAAATTGGCATACCTATCACTTACAAATCGCCATTTCTCAATATCCAAGGCATCCATACCAACATAAAGGAAGATAAAAATCTCTGCAACAAATGACAAAGTTGCAAAAGTATGCCTGTAAATGAATTGCATGAAACTAAACATTAGTTACATGCACATTTTGGTATGTCCTATGAAAATAAAAACATTATATTTCTGGTGGCCTGAGGTGACATCTCAGGAGAAACCTACTTGGTAGTAATTCTTGAACTTTCGGTCACATTGTGCCAGGTGTAATGTGACATAACAATCCCACAGAAAAACACGGTGAGAATGCCACTCAAATAGAACAGCTGCATAAAAGATCAAGGTGACTACCATCACAAGACAGCATGTGAAGTTAAAAGAAGGCAAAGGCCTCCAAGAAAAGCTCACATAAGTCAACTAGAATCTTACTTCGGCCAGCATGTATGAAAGGTATGCCATGAGTATCATTATAGCTACCTCACGATCTGTAGAGTGCCTAGATTCCATCAAAATCCAATTCAATGCCATGTTATATCATTTCCAATTGAAACTTTTAGAAGATTCATCAATAAAAGAAAACGAAATTATGACGTGAAAAATCAAACAGCTCAACTTATTCAAATCAATCACCCGAACTTTTTCCGAATAACAAAACAATGTTGAACAATTGCCAATTGATTGCTAATGAGAATAATATATTGAGAATCTAATTAATACTATTGCAATTGCATGCACAACATCTGTAAAAGAAGAAGGGGAGCAGGGGCTAAATGCAAGGAGAGTGTTCTTCTTGCCTAAAAGACACAAAGTTGTTACATTCTCTCTAACCTACTTAACAAGCTTCCCATGTCAAAGGTTTTTTCTGTACAATAGGGTTCAATTCTCCATCAAGTAGACAGGGCAGTTTTTTGTTTTTCCTTGCTTTTCCCTGCCATTTGATAGGTTTGTACCCTTTCTTGATGGAAACTCCAACCCAGTTTTATTAGACTAGAAAATAGTTATGCTTTATAATAGTCCAGTATGAAAAAAATAAGACAACAAGAAATCCATGCACTACCACCCAAATTTGTTATGACAAATATTACCTGCCGAAGTACAGTGTTTTGATAATGTAAGCACTAACCAATCCAGCCTGCAGCAGAAAGAGTAAGATGTCATATTGCGCCTTTCAATGGATAGCATTTGATCCAAATTCAACTAGCAACATATGGATTCTTATGTTTAATCCAATTATCCAAATCCGACCCCGTGGACTGACACAGTAATCTCTAACACACATAGAGAGAGAGAGAGAGAGACTTACTAACACTCCTAGCATAGTGCTTGTAAGGAATAAATACAGAAAATTGCCTATAAAATGCAGGGCAATACTGGGATCCACACTTGTGAGGTCAAAGCTCTGGATTGCATTGAAAAGTACCACTGATGTAGCATCATTCACAACACCTTCCCCAAATACCAGACTGTAAAGCAAGGGCGTCTCATCTTGATTAAGCACCTGCACCCTCAGATAATTTTAGTTCCACGAACTGCTAGTATTTATGCTGTTAACACTGCCTCAACTTTGATTACATTGCATACCTGCAATGTGCAAACAGAATCTGTTGCAGCAAATATTGCACCGATTGCTACAGAGATTAGGGACACCTCAGTCAGATCCTAAGCAAAAAAATAAAGTAACGTGAAACAGATAAAAGTAAATTTGTTACTACCTAGAAAATCCCCTATATCCAGGGAGCCAATATCCATTTTCCTAAAGAACTGTATGGCACCTGAATCAGACATGAGATGGTCAGTAACATAATCAGATATGGTACAACAATGTCCATTCACTCATACCAAACACACGACATTTGATAACCCATAAAAGTTGTTCTACTTAACGATTCTTAATCTTTGAACATTCGGAAGAAAACTTAAAACATATACCAGTCGATCTTCCATGCAGCAATAAAAAACTGCGTACTATGAAGGAAGAGTCTCTAGCTCTAATATCTAATTCACTTAGCTGTCATGTTTAAGATATGAACCCTATTGGAAAAGGCCATCCTAGGATATCAGCATGCCAGCACTTGTGATAACTTGTCTTTCTCCAGAGACTTTGGTCCCCCAGAATGTTAAAAGGTGACCTTCATCTATTCATTTCTTAGTTTCTACATTACTAGGTTCAAGCAAAGAAACAATAAAGTTCAAGGACTTGCATCAGTTTTGCATATGAATATAAGTGTAAGCAATTGACAAATCCAAAAGAAATTTCTGGACAAATTGACCAGCAATTTTTTTTTTTTTTTTTGGGGAGGGAGAGGGGGGAAGGGGGCTTAAACCATTGACCTCAAGAAAGAAAAACCTTCACAAGGTAAGGAGCACCATTGGACCAAAGGCCCATTGGTGACGAGCAATTTTTTGAGTGTGCTTCATTGATCAATATGAGATAGTTTTTTTTCCACAGTAACTTCCCCTCTTGGGGAAGCATGCATTCATCCACTTCCGTGCACTTTAACCATGGATTGTCTAAAAGTATGTAAACCTCGGTTCATAAATCAGCTTTCACTAGCAATTCTGTCTTTAGCTCTATGGTAGGAGCTGAATGTGCAGAATTAGATACATGAAGTCTTGCATTGTCTTCTGTTCTAGAACTGCAATTGCATGATAATATTTACACCTCTTCAGAGTTTTAAAACTCAGAGTATGTATAATGAACATTCCTAGTCCTCTATATCTGCAGTCTCTATTACAAAATTGAGAAGCGGATATTATTTCTTATTTCTTATTATAGCAGACTTACTCCCCCCCCCCCCCCAA